TTAGTCTCAAATTAAAGTTGCCCATTCGAATTGTCACTTTCAGCAAGTTAAGCAACCACCTAAATACTTTTTTTCATCATTAATCGTACCTATGCTATATTAGTCTCATTACAACTTTGTGATTTTTTTTTTTTGGCTATTCAGGTTATTGCATATTTCTTAGTGTAATAGTATAAGGTGGATGGTTAGTTTTGGATAAAAATAGTCATTCAGAGTCGAGTTATCCTAATATGTATTATAGAATTGGTAATTGATTGCAAATGGAATTCCCATACGGTCTTCCACATAATTAATGTCATCTGATCAAGTAATAATAAGTTATTTCATTTAGTCTTTTTATTGTCTTTATTTAATCTATCTAATTTATTATTCGCTTTGATTTTAGTTTATAATGAACATTTGTCAATTGAAATACAGTATTAAAGTTACCTGTTACATACCTTAATTTCTTATTAGTAATGCACATTAATTTATTAATTTGTGATAATAAAGATATTTATTAATTGAAGTATTCATGATTGTTATTATCAAAGAGTTAGTCAATCACTGTAATGACTGCTATCTTGCCTAGACGGCTTTGTACTTTTGGGTTTCGCTTGGCACAACACACACACTCCTTCACTCACAAACACACTGGCTTCGCAACGTAAGTATTTACTTTAATAAAACGCTTTACTTTATTATCAGTCAAAGAGACTAACTGATTCTCTTTATTTACTTTCGCTATTTATATAAAACATTTATTACATACTTTGTGCAACACTTAAACTATCTCTTGCATTATTAATAAAATAAACTTTTTAACTTCGCCTAATATGCCGCCATTGTTTTGTAATCGGTACCCGATCTTCTTAATGCCGCCCAACATTATAATTTTCCACCCGATCCCGGTCAACCATATGATCACGTGAGTCGTTCGAATCATATTTCTATTTTGCTTTTACACTCTTCGACTCATTAAACATTTCGTTATCTATTTGCATACCTTTTACTAGGTACAAAGGCTCTTCGTAAACTATGCGACAGTTATTCATAGTTAAATGGTTGTATATAGTGCTATAACTACTAATTGCGCTATAGGCTATCAACGTTAAGATAAGTAAGACACCATGGTTACAGTAGCAGTACAAGGACCATTCTGAGTTTTAATATCACAATTCTCATTTCAACTATATGTCAGCTATCAATAGAAATCAAGTAGATTAACTATTTTTTTTAAAAAATAAATACCCATATGGCCGTGGATAAATGCCCACCTGCGCGTTATTTCTAGTACGCCCATGTGCGTTATTTTGAAATGAATGTTGATTTTTTGAATCGTACCCCTAAACTAGGTTTGGTACTTAGTAAACCTACTAAACCTAGTTTTAGAGCACATTTTTTGTTTCATTACTTTTATTGATATGCTTGTTAATTCGAGACCGCATATGCTATTTTAGAGGGGTTCTGATTTTCGAAATAACGCCCATGAGCGTTATTCCGCGGCTATACGGAACTTTAACTTTTACAACTTATATCTTAACGAATTTCAAAGCTATTTCAATGATTTAATAGTCTTAAGAAAGTTTAGAATTTAAGCTTTTTTCGTTATTAATCGTTGAAATTCATCAATATAACTTATAAGCTGAGAAAGTTAAAGTATTAATTTTTTTAAAAAATGTTAACTTGATTTCTATTAATGACTTCTCATATAAGTGTATGATTGACACTATTCTTTGTGTTTTGTTAGGTTCGAGGCTGTCAAAGAGCGGTTTTCATGGCAAATAGAGAGTGATCTTAGAGGTTAAAGAAGTTTGGGAGTCGCTAAAGATGATAGTTTATGGTATTGCGGATTGGGAGGAGGTTTGTAATGTAAATTTGACTGATGAATTCCCTCTTTCTTCGCTTACTTCTGTAAAATTCTTTCCTTATTTTTGTAAAACTCATCAGGACGTTATAAATATCCAATTGACGGATGTAACAGACGTTGGGACTAGTGTTGGCAGGCGAAACTATTTTTGGCAAATGGCGAAAGACGAAACTAAACCCGGCGAAAGACGAAACCTGGCG